AGCACCTTGTGATCTAAGTAGGCGGGATGGTTCATAGTGAGAGAGAAGTTCACTCAGGTACAGCGGGGCGAGTCCGTGTAGTGCTTTATAAGTCAGCAAGAGAATTTTATAATCAATCCGAAATTTTACTGGCAACCAGTGTAAGGCTGATAAAACTGGGCTGATATGGTCAAACTTTCTGGTTCTAGTAAGAACTCTGGCTGCAGCGTTCTGGACTAGCTGAAGCTTGTTAATGCTTTTGCTGGGACATCCAGCCAGCAGGGCATTACAGTAATCTAGCCTTGAAGTAATAAATGCATGAACTAACTTTTCTGCATCCTGTAGAGATAATGCATTTCTCAATTTAGCAATATTGCGAAGATGCAGGAAGGCTGTTCTAGTAATATTAGTTATATGTGTGTCGAAGGACAGATCAGGGTCTATAATGACACCAAGGTTTTTTACATATGAGCTTGATGCAACTGAGAAATTGTTAAGTTTAAGTGTTAAATTAGACAGTTTGTTTCTAGCTGCTTTTGGACCAAGAAGCAGAACCTCTGTTTTATCTGAGTTTAGAAGGAGAAAGTTACTCGACACCCAGTCCTTTATGTCTTGTATACAGTCTTCAATCTTGCTAAGTTTAATTCTATCATCTGGGTCGCTTGCTAAATATAACTGAGTGTCATCGGCATAGCAGTGGAAGTTTATGCCGTGTCTACTGATAATGGTGCCCAGTGGTAGCATATATAAAGTGAATAATACAGGTCCTAAAACAGAGCCTTGTGGAACACCATATTTTACTTTTGTGAGAACAGATGATTCACCGTTTATATTAACAAACTGATACCGATCAGTGAGGTAGGACCTGAACCAGGAAAGAGCTGTTCCTGTTACCCCTACAAGGTTTTCTAGTCTGTCTAGTAAGATAGTGTGGTCTATTGTGTCAAATGCCGCACTAAGATCGAGGAGGACTAACAAGGACACATGATCTTGGTCAGAAAATAATAATAGATCATTTACAATTTTTACTAGTGCTGTTTCTGTACTATGATGTGGCCTAAAACCAGATTGGAATTTTTCATGTATTTGATTCCTATGTAAAAAGGAGCTTAACTGTTTTGCTACAACTTTTTCCAAGATCTTAGATATAAAGGAGAGATTCGAGATGGGTCTATAATTTGAAAGTTCGCATGGATCGAGGTTAGCTTTCTTAATCAGCGGTCTAATTACTGCTAGTTTAAGAGATTTTGGGATGTACCCAAGGCTAAGAGAAGAGTTTATTATTGACAGAATAGGCTTGGTTATTTCTGGCAGAATTTCCTTGAGTAAACCTGTAGGAATCGGATCTAGCATACAGGTAGATGATTTCGCGGAAGAGACTATTTTAAATAGTTCATTTTCTTGGAGTAAGGTAAACGATTCCAGCCTCTCTGCAGGAATTATAATATTTTCAAGATTGAGGCTGGCATTATGGGGAAGCAGGTTTCTAGAGTTTAATTGCGTATTCTGAATTTTCTGCCTAATTTTTTCAATTTTATCACTAAAGAAATTCATAAAATCGTTGCTGCTATAGGCTGATGGCATCTGGGGTTCACTAACTGTTTTGTTCTCTGTTAGTTTAGAGATTGTGCTGAAAAGTAATCTAGGATTATTCTTATTGTTTTCTATGAGAGAGGAGAGATAAGCTGAGCGTGCTGTAGCAAGTGCTTGTCTATAGTCTGTAAGGCTCTCCTTCCAGGCGGACTGGAACACTTCTAGCTTAGTCAGGCGCCATTTACGCTCAAGTTGTCTGGCGTTCTGTTTTAAAGCCCGAGTGTTGTCATTATACCAGGGGGCGAGTTTTTTCTGCCTTACTATTTTACTTTTTAATGGGGCCACACTATCTAGAGTAGATCGAAAACTATTCTCTAAGAGCTTGGTCATAGCATCTAGCTCAGTAGGATTAGATGGACAGATGAGAGCGGCTGATAATTTAGGAAGGTTTCTAATAAAGCCACCAGCTGTGGAGGGAGTTATTGTCCACTTGACACAATAACATGGTGATGAACGCACATTACCACTAAAGTGAATTTCGTAAGAGATTAAGTAATGGTCAGAGACTGCTGTGCTCTGGGGGAGAATGGCTAAGTTATCTATGTTTACACCAAAAGTCAGTATTAAGTCTAGAGTGTGGTTGTGGTAGTGTGTGGGCCCCTTTATGATTTGGGTGAAACCTATGGAGTCTATGACAGATATAAATGCCTTGCTTAGTGCATCTTGGGGATTGTCTAAATGGATATTAAAATCTCCGACAACTATTATTTTATTTGAAAGCGTTATTAGACTTGATAGAAACTCAGAGAATTCCTGTAAGAACTGAGAATACGGCCCTGGTGGCCTGTAGACTGTAATTAGTGTAAAGGAATTTTTATGTGTTCCTTGATCACTTATATTAAGAAAAAGAACTTCAAAAGAAGAGAATGTATAGCCTACTTTCTGCCTCACGCCTAAAGCTTTAGTATGGATGGTTGCTATACCTCCACCTCGGCCGCTTAAACGAGGGCTATGTGCATAGCTGTAGCCTGGGGGTGTGGCTTCGTTTAGACTAAAGTATTCATCGGGTCTAATCCACGTTTCTGTGAGGCACAGAGCATCAAAGCTGTGATCGGTAATAATTTCATTAACAACGACAGCTTTAGGAGTAAGGGATCTTATATTAAGCAGTCCTAGTTTTAGACCAAAGGTGCTGTCACTGCAAACTGGTGTAACTGGTCTGATATTAATCAAGTTACTGAAGCAAACTTTTCGAGGCTTTTTGATGCTTTGTTTTATTCGGGGAACAGACACAGTCTCTATTGGGAGAAACCTATGAGCATTTATATTTATAGAATGAGCATTTGTTACCCTATTTACAGTATAAAAGCTAGCAATCGCATAATCTTCAGCAGTAGCACTATCATAATGAGCTGTAGCGTTTCTATCTTTGCCGCTACTTACGTGGCCTTCGCTCTGGAGTCAGCGGATGGCCCTCTCGATGTTCCGTGAGAGAACTATGGATCCCAGGCGACTGGGGTGGAGGCCGTCCCTCCGGAAGAGCGCTGGCTGTTCCCAAAACGAAGCCCAGTTGTCCACGTAGGTCAAGCCGTTGAGGGCGCACCAGCCGCGGAGCCAGGACTGCAGCGCGAAGAGCCTGCTGAACCGCTCGGATCCCCTCCTGTAGGTGGGTAGCGGTCCGGAGATGACGATCCTGGCGTCCGTCTTCTTCCTGGCGGTGTCCAGCAGCGTCTGGTAGTGCTCCTTCAGGACCTCACTTTGCCGGTCGAGGATGTCGTTGGTCCCGACATGGATCACCACGGTCCCGAAGGCGTTTCGTCTGAGAGCCGAGGGGAGGCGCCTGGCTATGTCTAAGACACGAGCACCTGGAAAACAAGAAACAGTGGCATGGGTGTTTTTAACCTTTACTTGAACGTGGCGGACAATGGAACTACCAATAACGTAAACAGAGTCCTGTGTAGAGCGCCGGGGCGCCGGGGCGGGTGACGAGGTCCGGGGCGCTGGGGCGGGCGGCGGCGAGGAGGCCCGGGACGTAGGTGAGGGCGTAGGCGGTGAACAAAGGACGGCGAAACGGTTGCCGGAGGTGAAGATCGGCTGGGGCGGTGGTGAGGGTCTGCAGGGCCCTCTGCGGCGCTGGCGTTCCCAGGGACCATGCGGGGCTGGCGTGAGAACGGTGTCTCCCGGCGTGCGGAAAGACGACGCTGGCGCCACCACCGAGGGGGAAACTTCCCGGGTGGCTTCGAGCATCGACTTCTGCCGAAGGAGCTCGTCCTGCTTCTTCAGTAGGACGGTGATCTGTCGGTCCAGCCGGGCCAACTCTACGCTCAGAGTCTGGAGGGCGCGTTTCTGGGCGGACGCCATGGTGGATGGGCTGAGGGAATAACTGAGAGATAGATAGAGAAAAAGAGAGGGAGAAGACAAAATAAGAGGGAGAGGCGTGAGGGGGTTAGCGGCCTGCTAACTGCAGAATTTTCAACTAATTTTCAAGTAAAGTTTTCAAGTAAAGTTTGGACGCTGCTCGATCTGAAGTTCTAAGGTGTGCTGCTCTCTGTCGCTCGCAGTGACGTGCTCTCTGTCGCTCGCAGTGACGTGCTCTCTGTCGCTCGCAGTGACGTGCTCTCTCCAAGTCCAACCTGAGAATGTGCACATCCCTTATAGGCACAAGCCAGAAATTGTGCACTTGGCTCAGGCCCCCATCACAACTGGGAGCTGCTTCCTACCTCTCACATTGACTCAGCCATCGCTGACAGACTTGAGTTGAGCAGTTGCTGCCTCCCAGCTGTGCTACTTTCAGTGAGCACGTCTGGAATTACGGCGACGTTGAGGAGCCAGTGACGGTGAAGGTGGTGAGCTGTTTCCTGTTTGTGCTGCACCTGACCAAAAGTCTGTGGCGGCAGCTGATCTTCTTAGGTGGCTTCTGTTTCCTCGCCAGCTCAGGTTTGTGGCATTGTCTGGAATGGTGCCTCCCTTCCTGCATCATCAGCATACCAGTTGCTCCACCACCACTCACTTGGGGGCTGCACAGCACCATCTTGTCCCTGAACTCTTCCACCATAAATCACTGTGTAACACGTTTTGATGTCTCTTCACCGAGATTAAGCTCTGCCACCACTGCTTCAACAATGGATGCTTAACTGTTGGTCAGTTTGGCAATTCTGCCCCCAGTATGCTTATCTGCTTGTCCTTCAAGCTCCATACATCTGACACTACTGTGGCATCGGCTCAGAAGATATTAAACTAACGATTTTAAACTAATGAAAAACAACATTGACAACAAAAACGGATTTTCCTTCTGAATCACAACAGAAAACCTCAAAAAACCCACAGATTCCATGAGGGTTTAGTAATCATTTGTTGTATTCTTTTTTCAGTTTAGCTTTATCTGGTGTTAGTCTTTATTTTACATATATACATACATAATCTAAACCGCTTATCCTTCTGGGTCGCGGTGGGGTGCTGGAGCCTATCCCAGCTGTCATTGGGCGGAAGGCAGGATACACCCTGGACAGATCACCAGTCCATCGCAGGGCTTTATTTTAGTTTAGTTTTATCTGGACTGCAAGGTCTGAAGGATGATTCATACCGTTTTGATTTGATATGAAGTTTTACGAATTTATTAATGTGTGTGCTTGTTCTTCAGAGTGGATCATAGCGGGAAGATCAGGATGAAACCAGGACTGAAGAAATGTAACTATATACACACACAGACACACACACTCACACTGTACACACTATCAACATTCTCCTCTAATCTGTATGTGTGTGTGTGTACAGATGCTGTTGATCTCACTCTGGATCCAAACACAGTGAACAGTCATCTCTCTCTGTCTAAGAGCAACAGAAAGGTGGAGCGTGTGGAAGAGGATCAGTCGTATCCAGATCATCCAGACAGATTTGATTACTGGCAGGTTCTGAGTGTGGAGAGTCTGACTGGACGCTGTTACTGGGAGGTTCAGTGGTACGGAAAGAGAGCTAATATATCAGTGTCATACAGAGGAATCGGGAGGAAAGGAGTCAGTGATAACTGCATGTTTGGATATAATAAACACTCCTGGAGTCTGGACTGCATTCAAAACAGTTACTCTGTCCTTCACAATAAACATGAAACTGTCCTACCGACTCCCTCCTCCCCCTCTAGCAGAGTAGCAGTGTATCTGGACTGGGGGTCCGGCACTTTGTCCTTCTACACCATCTTCCCTGGCACACACACACTGACCCACCTATACACATTCACCACCACATTCACTGAGCCGCTCTATGCTGGATTCTGGGTGTATGATGAGTCCTCAGTGAGATTGTGAGATAGAATAACCTCTACACAGAGAGAGAGGGAGAGAGAGAGAGAGAGAGAGAGAGAGAGAGAGAGAGACAGGTTGGTAAAAATGTGTTTGTTTATCAGTTTGATCTCCGACTGTAAATATGAGATAAAGCAAAGCTTTTTGTGGTTAAACTGTTCAAAATAAATGAAAAGAGAATAAAAATAAACAGTTTTCTCTAAAATGTGAGTTCAGAAAAAGACTAAACAGCACAGAAACACATGGCCATGTGTTCATATATGAGATACATTTCAGATTTACTGTTACAGAAACACATTTATTACACACACAAATATTCATGCATACACACACCTTGTTTTCTATATTAATGTCTTTTAATTTATTCTAATGTAGTGTAAAATCACACTTACTCTTGCGATGATGGTTTAAACACTGAGTTTAGTGGGCTAAAACTTTTTCACAGTGCTGTATATACGCTGAATATATTTCTGTTCTGTAAAATTCAGATATTTTAGTGTAGTAGCCCTGTGTCAGTGTTGGGGAAGTTGTTCTAAAATAGTGCTGATTGACTCATTACTCATTAATGCTAAAGTACTGAATTATCGTACTTATTTACTTACTTACTCCCTGTGGCCAGTAATTCGTTAGTTCTATGTTACTGAGCTGCATTGTTGCGTAATCGCCAGTTAAACCTGACAAATGCTCACCTATCAACACAGACCCCCACTCTAATCAGGAGGATGAGCATGAGTTCTTTCCGCTATGCTCTTTAAAAAGCTCCCCAAAGTCGACAGCAGAGCTGGAGAAAACCAGCCCAGAGAGCTTCACAGAGAAATCTTGAGGACAGAACCTGTTTCTGAGAGATGGAGATTTTGCTGTGGAAACTGGCAACATTTCCTCTACTGTGTATGACACTGTGTTTATCTCTGCACTGGAAAGTCAAATGAGTGGCAGCAACAATTACAGTAAAACATTCTAATTCAGAAAAATGCTAAAATAAATGAATAGAAATTTTCAAAAAAGGTTTTGCAGATAAACAAAAGCCACAAATAAACAAACCTTCAAAAAAGTAATGGTACTAAACGTTCTTCAGATAAACATGGTTATTTTTGGCTGCATTTTTCTTTTTCCAAAGTCTCTCTGACTGGACAGAGACAGAATATTTTATGTCTAAATTCCTTTGTTTTACTTATTTATAGACACAAGTGAGAAAATCTGCCCCACCAAATAAAGCACTTTAGAAGCAGTGCAGACATAAAGCACAACTTGTACAACCTGTCAGTTTTTCAAATTAAGCAGATAAAATGTTAAATGATGTCATTCTAATGATGGAAGACAATGAATCTACCACTGATGTTTAACACTGATGTCATTAGTTGATGGTCAACAGTCAGTTTATAAAAAAATGTTGTTAAGAAAAGTTTGGGCTTTAATAAAAGCACAATCGTAGGTTTTTACCACTGTCAGCTCAAATCAAAACAAAGTGCTCTCAGCCCCACATGACACAGGAAACTCAAACTTGGTGGACACTGTCCTACCACATTCATGCTGGAGTTTATTATCTTAATTCTAACATCCCACCCTGAGTGTAGTCAAGGCTTTACAGTCAAAACCAACTCCTTTAAAATCCCATTTCAAATATCAGCATGAAGACAACTAAAATTTCCAAATCCAACATGAGCTTAAAGACTCAATGCAGTTATTTCAGTCAACATTTAACCTGAGCTGCCACACTGGACCATCTAAAGAAACTCACTTTCCATCACATGTGAACATCTTGAATGTTTCTGTTTAGTTTGTCCATCCAGTCTCATCAAGATCTTCTGGACAAACTCAAATGTGTACAAACCGGATTCCAAAAAGGTTGGGACACTAAACAAATTGTGAATAAAAACTGAATGCAATGATGTCGAGGTGCCAACATCTAATATTTTATTCAGAATAGAACACAAATCACAGATCAAAAGTTTAAACTGAGAGAATGTATCATTTTAAGGGAAAAATATGTTGTTTCAAAATTTCATGGCGTCAACAAATCCCAAAAAAGTTGGGACAAGGCCATTTTTACCACTGTGTGGCATCCCCCCTTCTTCTTACAACACTCAACAGACGTCTGGGGACAGAGGAGACCAGTTTCTCAAGTTTAGAAATAGGAATGCTCTCCCATTCATGTCTAATACAGGCCTCTAACTGTTCAATCGTCTTGGGCCTTCTTTGTCGCACCTTCCTCTTTATGATGCGCCAAATGTTCTCTATAGGTGAAAGATCTGGACTGCAGGCTGGCCATTTCAGTACCCGGATCCTTCTCCTACGTAGCCATGATGTTGTGATTGCTGCAGAATGTGGTCTGGCATTATCTTGTTGAAAAATGCAGGGTCTTCCCTGAAAGAGATAACGTCTAGATGGGAGCATATGTTGTTCTAGAACCTGAACATAGTTTTCTGCATTAATGGTGCCTTTCCAGACATGCAAGCTGCCCATGCCACAAGCACTCATGCAAGGCTTCTGAACGGAGCGTTGATAACAACTTGGGTTATCCTTGTCCTCTCTGGTCCGGATGACATGGCGTCCCAGTGTTCCATAAAGAACTTCAAATCGTGACTCATCTGACCACAGAACAGTCTTCCATTTTGCCACACTCCATTTTAAAAGACCCCTGGACCAGTGCAAACGTCTGAGCTTGTGGAGCTTGCTTAGAAATGGCTTCCTCTTTGCACTGTAGAGTTTCAGCTGGCAACGGCGGATGGCATGGTGGATTGTGTTCACTGACAATGCTTTCTGGAAGTATTCCTGAGCCCATTCTGTTATTTCCTTGACAGTGGCATTCCTGTTTGAGGTGCAGTGACGTTTAAGGGCCCGGAGATCACAAGCATCCAGTAGAGTTGGACGCACAGCGATTGTTCCAGATTCTTTGAATCTTTTGATGATGTTATGCACGGTTGATGATGATAACTTAAAAGTCTTTGCTATTTTACGCTGGGTAACACCATTCTGGTATTGCTGCACTATCTTTCTGCGCAACAATGGTGGAATTGGTGATCCTCTTACCATCTTGGCTTCAGAGAGACACTGACACTCTGAGAAGCTCTTTTTATACCCAATCATGTTGTCAATTGACCTAATTAGTGTTAATTGGTCTTCCAGCTGTTTGTTATATGCTCAATTTCCTTTTTCCAGCCACTTATTGCTACTTGTCCCAACTTTTTTGGGATTTGTTGACGCCATGAAATTTTGAAACAACATATTTTTCCCTTAAAATGATACATTCTCTCAGTTTAAACTTTTGATCTGTGATTTGTGTTCTATTCTGAATAAAATATTAGATGTTGGCACCTCCACATCATTGCATTCAGTTTTTATTCACAATTTGTTTAGTGTCCCAACTTTTTTGGAATCCGGTTTGTATTTTAAGTTGTCAGAAAGCTGAGATCAACAGCATAAATGAGCCCAAAATCCACAATGAACACTTCCAAGATTGTAGAGCACCTTAATGCCCTCTATTACAATGCCAGCGTCCCCTGGAACAACATCATCATCATTACCATCTCTTCAAATGGAGTAAATCCCCATGACTGTGCACTCACGTCCTTCTCCTTATCACCAATAACAGACCTGAACATGAACATAAACACAAACACGTAATCACTGACCAGTCAGAGAAGTGGACAAGCAGAAGTCTGTCTTTTCAAGGATTGTGAAAACCACAACTGTAGCTCAGCCCTTCGCCACCGAATCATCAGCTCAGATTCACTCAGAATCAGATACTGACTTAACTACCATAATTATATTTAAATGTCTTTGATCTTTGACTTGGTTAGATTCTGAATCAGCTGCAGGTAAAATTCATAATGCTGATGCTTAAGTAGCATCTCAAATTTTTGAAGCACTTTCATGTCCTGGCATGTTAACCTTGTCCGAGCTACACATTCATGGCTCTAGACATCAGTTTTCTTCCAAGGGTGAACTTTGAGATTTTATTTCAACATCAGTAATATGTATTTTACTTGCAGAGATCAGAATCTGACCAGCTCAATAAATCAAAGACTCAACTTAGTTATATCTAATCATGGCAGTTACATCTGTGAATGAGCACTTAATCATCATTTTGTCGGTTCTAAAGTTTGTGGACCAACACCTTCGTCAAACTACTGCTTTGATGAGTGCTTTCAAGTGCTTATTTTGGTAAAACAATCATCTTTCCAACGTGCAACAATTTTGACCAGTAAAAAACGTGGTTTCATTTTCACTGGTATCTTATCATTGAGATAATATCTTGAATATCTATTTTTGCATAAATTCTTGACACATACTGTACAGGTAAAATAGATGACCAGGCTTTTTAGCATTCAGTCCCTCCTGATGTCGATGTCATCAAACTAAAACAGGGGAAAAATCAAGACAGAATTTAACCAAATTATATGCCAGCTTGTTACACATTATTGCTGCCATACATATTTTATGTGTAAGAAAATAAGAACTGATTCCCTCGTAGTTAAATAAGCAAATCGTTGCTGTCTGATGAAATACACGTATCTCCACTTTTAGCGGTTTTTACTTTTTTCCATGTGTGGAATGTGGGTACGCTTTTCTGTCTATCTATAGCAGTTGATATCAAAATGACCAATGAAAAGCTGAAAAATCACACCGTCTATTTAACTGGTATCTCCATTGTTTGCTAGACCTGTTCATCAAAACTGTGTATCTCCTCCCCCCCAAGCCCTCCGGTAATGTTTGAGACAGTGGCGAAACTTGTTTGATTCGTCCCCGTCATTCACACGTTCTTTTTAAATAACCACTTTAGTTTTTGAAATACACATTTATTTGTCACAATCGTGTGTCAGCTCGTTTCACATGGCCAGCTCTTATAACAGATTTATAACAG